GAAAACTCGATGGAGTGCGCGAGCAGATGCAAGCAAAGCCTTATACAGTTCATACAAACAAGTTCTGGAAACATTAAACTCTATTTGCGAAGATGAAAATCAAAATAAAGAGATCAAAATAGAAGCAACAGGAATATTAGAAAAAATTAAAACTCTAGAAATTACAATAATGTTGTGCTTTTGGAACTCTGTGCTCGTAAAGTTTCAAATCGTTAGTGCACAGCTACAAGCAAGTTCTGTTGATTTATGCAACGTTGTTACTCTTTATGAGACATTACATGCTTATCTTGATACGTTGCGTGACGAAAAAGAGTTCGAAAATTTTTAATCAGAGGCAATCAAGAGATGCAAAGTGACCACATACAAAAAAGATGTAAGAAGAAGAAAGAAACCAAAATTTCATTTTGATGAAGCTAAAACGGGGCACATTGAGTTAGAAGGGAGACGATCTTTCATTGTTGATAATTATTATGCAGCTATTGATTGTCTTAAAGTGCACTTAAAAAACCGGCAAATTATTTATAATACAGTAAACACAAAGTTTGGTTTCTTATGGAAACTGCATGAACTAGACGACAGTGAATTTATTAGAAGCAAAGCAAAGGAGTTAAAACAACTATATGCCACTGATTTAGAAGAAACCTTTGCAGAAGAATGCGTCCATTTGGCTTAAGCCAAATCTCTGCCTTTTGGGGTGGGAATTATATAAGCATTTTCAAACATTTAGTTAAATCACCTCGAAGGCCACTCACTCAAATAATTAATCGTTTAACAGAACTAGAATGTGGAGAAGGATTGACAATTAAAAAAATTCATTGGATTAAAAATTGTGTTATACGAAACCATATAGATAATGATAATTATGAAGACAGAGACTATGATTGTGTAGTGCGTATTTGTGTGAATGAGTTCACATTGACTTCTCAGCATCCAAATAATATTATACAATTGAAAGATGGAAAGATATTTAAAATCACCAAAATATTAAAAAGACGAAGAGAGGATGGAGCTTCATCAATATTAAGTGATTTAGTTTTTACAGGATGTCAAATAGACCGTAGTCGGTCAGTGTTCAATTTTCCCACTCCTTCTCTCGACGTTGGCATGAGTTTCGGCCACGGATTCTCAAACATTGAAGAAACAATATCTGTTATAGACATTAAATGCAAGTGTGTTTTATTGCATTGCCATAATAGAATCAACATTATTTCTTTACTGCACTGAGCTGGACTGTTATTGTTATGTGCATGTATATATAATAATTGAAGTTTGATACAATAGGAAAGTGGATGATGTATTAATCGTCAACCTAATTCGTGTAAACTTTCGTAAGAACACACATATATATTGTATGGACTATCAAATTGAGTGTAGGGTTTCGTCTTGTGGTGTGAAAACTCTACTCTATATATTTATATTGTGTAGTGTAGTGAACCTCGACACACATCAAGTCTGGAATGTAAACAAAGTCGAGTGAAATCTATAAAAAACATATACATTAAAAAATAATATATTTTATTAGTCTGTGTGTGTGTGTCTCTTCGTACTTCTTTAGACAGTTAGAGAATTTAGTGTTCAAGTGACTTCCATAGTGAACGGTGCGATTTGTTTGTTCTTAAAAGACGAAAGGTCATCAAAAACGATTAAAAAATGGCAAAATCGGATAATTATCTGTATGCAGTGGTAGCTTTTTTAAAAAATGGTGAAAATNGATTTTCCAGCGGCATCTGACTTGTAATTCGGAAATATATTCCTTGCACCATCGTTGCCAAAAGTGCTGTACCATTTTTTGGATATGTTGAAACTTGCTCAACCTGTTATCAGCGATTTCTAGAAGGTCTGGCTGCGGTGGAGAGGTCAATTTTCTCCCAATTAAGAAATGTGCAGGTGTCAAAGGATCGGGGTCACTAATATCTGTGGATAAAGGGCTAAGGGGTCGGGAATTCATAACTGCTTCAATTTGAGTAAGAAAGGTGTAAAATTCCTCGAACGTTAAATTAGAATTACAACCTATTCTTTTTAAATGCTGTTTAGCAGATTTTATTCCTGCTTCCCAAAGACCACCGAAATGGGGGGAACGAGGTGGTATAAAATTCCACGTTATGCTATTTTTGTTTAATTGGCTTGTTATTCGACTTTGGTTTTCTTTTGCCCTAAGGAAATTATGTAGCTCTACAAGTTCTGAGTTGGCACCTACAAAGTTAGTGCCATTATCAGAGTAGACATTTAAAGGGAGCCCGCGTCTAGCAACAAATCGCCTAAAACATGCTAGAAAAGCTTCTACATTTAATTGGGAAACTAGTTCCAAATGTACTGCCTTTGTAGCAAGGCAAATAAATAAACAAATGTACACCTTTACAAGCTTACAACCTCTACCCTTTTTGTCTTTAATTAAGATTGGTCCGGCATAATCTAAACCACAATTGAAAAATGGAGGCGAGGGCTCAACTCTTGATTTTGGTAAATTGCCCATTATTGTTTTACAAAGTGTGGGCTTTGCGCGAAAACATCGTACACATTGATGTATAACCTTTTTTACTGCACACTTGCCAGAAAGCGGTCAATATTTTTCGCGTAATGACGCTAATAATTGATTTGCTCCGCAATGCAATAAACGAATGTGCTCGTGTCTAATTATTATGGTTGTTAAATGGTGGGCAGGTAAAATTATGGGATGTTTTTTGTTATAATGGTAATCTGAGTGCTCTAAACGGCCTCCAACCCGCAAAATACCTAATGAGTCTAAGAATGGATTTAGACAAAGAATTTTGCTTTTCGGATTTATTGGTTTATTTTTGCTTAAATTATGAATTTCGGTAGCAAATATTTGATTTTGTGCGATCTTTATAAGTTTTGTTAATGCGTCGTTTATCTCATGGACTGTTAAATTGTTAAATTTGATTCTCAACTCCGGCTTGACCTTTAAATTATTGATAAAACGTAAACAGTATGCAGTGACGCGTTTTAATTTGTTGAAACAAGAAAATTTGGTTGTTAAGTTAAAATCATTAATAGTTGCAGATAGGGTTACATTG